GAAGAGAGTAAGGGATACAATGTACAGTCCAGTCCTTGGTTGAATGTTTGAAAAGGAAAATGATGACCTTCCAGTGATAGCCTTGAGTATATATACAATTTTAATTAACACGATGAGCATATTTGGGGGCGTGGTTTATGACAAACATCACAAAAAACTGTCAAAATCCGATTCCAACGAGAGGCTCTGTTTGCAACATCAAGCACTGCAATTAAGATCGGTTCTTAGACAAAGAAATTTAGCTTATGAGTGTGCTTTGTTTCGTAAAAAAAAAGATGTTAACTTAAATAAAGATAACAAAGAAAAACGCATGAGACAATGAATTTGAGGAATGTAAAATTGGTTGAATGATTCATGACATTGCTACAATTTGTGTGATTGATTTGTACATTAGTTTATTTAATCATTTTATTTCATTTGGAGCTTCGCGATATTCAAAATTCGCGACAACTGATGACTCCAGCCTGTGTGAGAACAGCAACATTGGATAAGTGGTCCAACCAGTGGGTTTTAGGATTATGAAGGCGTGCTGCTGAAAGCATTCGAATGGTGGCGGTAGATAACCATGATTTAGATCCATATAATAAAATAGACAGCAAAGTGGTTTTATAAACAGTAATCTTAGTATTTCTCTTCAGGTGTTTATATTAGATTATTTTACGGAGTTTTCCGAAAGTTCTGTATGCCTTTACTAATCTGTTGTCAATCTCTTTGTCGATCTTGACGTCGGAAGGAATTATGCTGCCCAAACAGCCAAACTGCTGGATTGATTTAAGCACTGATTCGCCTATGGTCATGCAAGGATGAAAGCGATCGTCCTGTGGTGCAGGCTGGTAGAGAACTCCTGTTTTCTTCAAGCTTACTTCTAGTCTAAAAAGTTCTATGACTTCTGCAAAAGAGGATGTTAGACGCTGCAAAGTTGCTTCTGTGTGAGCGATGAGTGCGACATCATCGGCAAAAAGAACCCCTCGAAACGTGGTAATTTAGAGTCTTGATGGGGACCTTCAGTCGCCTTAGGTTGAATGGGCTTACATCGGTACGATATCGGATGTAGATGGCATTTTTTTCATGTGGATCTGCCATGGCTCTTTGGAGCATCATGCTGAAGTAGATTGTGAACAGAGTTGGTGCAGTGAACTTGTTTCACTCCATTAAGGAAAGACTTTGAGAATGCATCGCCATAACTGACTTGGTGGTGTGGATTCTTACGTAAATAGCATGATCATTTTCAGAAACTTAGAAAGACATTCTAACCGTTCCAAGATCTGCTATAGAACTTTTCTGCTTACAGTGTTAAAGATTTTGGTGAGGTCTACGAAGGTTAGATAAAGACCTTTGTTCTGTTCCCTGCATTTCTCTTGTAGTTGTTTGAGAACAAATACCATATCTGTGGTATTCCTATTTGCCCTCAAGTCACTTTGGCTTTCAGGGATATAGCGGGTACCAATCTATTCAGAAGTATTCTTTCAAAGATTTTACCAGCAACAGAGAGCAGATTAATACCTCGGTAATTTGAGCAGTTTGATTTTACTTCTTAATGAGGCGATAATTATTGCATCACGGTGATCTGGTGGAAGTTCGCTTTTTTTCTAACATCGCAGAACGAGCTCGTGAAACTTAGCGGGAAGTGTTTAACCTCCCTGTTTCCATATCTCAGGTAGGATATCATCAATCCCAGCTGCCTTGCCAGTTTTCACCTGGGGTATGGCCTTGAGCGTTTCTATCGCACTCGAAGTTATATCCAATTCGCTTTTCACTGGTTGTTGTGTAATGTGTTGAATTACTGAGCCTTGGCCTGCACGGTTGGCACTAAAAAGAGTCTGGAAGTGTCCAGACCATCGATCCAGGATAGAGTTTTTGTTAGTCAGAAGCGTTTGGCCATCTGCGCTAAGTAGAGAACTTTTGATGTGATTTATGGGTTTGTTTATACGTAGTTTTAGAGCCTAGTAGAATCTTCTGTAGACATCCGAATCTGAGCACAGATGAATATTTCCTGCTCATTACTTTCATCAAACCAGTCTTTATTTTTTTGCAGGGAACCCTAAGGATTCCACGGAAGACTGTAAGATGCTGGTTTTAATATGTTGCCGAAATACTTTAGGAGAGGGATCTGTAGAGTGATTTTGAAATCTGGTTTGAATATTCATTGGAAGTTATTTCCCACAGAGTATTTGGAAATTATTAACTTTTGAGTCTCCTTCTTGGAATTCTACCTCTCTCAGGTTTGGATTTAAAGCCCAGGTTGAGTTTACATCGTACA